TATGACATTTTAAAATCTAAAGAGACAGATGGAGGAAGTGGGTGGATTCAGAGTAGTATGCTCTAATAAATTTGTTAGTCTCTAAGGTGCCACAAGTACTCCTGTTTTTTTTGAAGTGGGCGGAGTCGCTGTAGCCGAGGGGCGGGGCCTATTGCACTAATAGATGAAGGCAGCTGATTCATCTCTTCTCTGCTTTGGTGTGGAGGAGTCAGACAAGCACCCACTTGCCCCTTCCCTCCCCAGTGGGACTGTCACGGGGTGCAGTACTGCCAAGCTGCCTCTGGGTCCTGGGTGTAACACCACTGGTAGTCATAGTCATGGGACCCACAGTAGTGCTGGGGGGAGCAGCAGTGGTCCCAGTTGTCTTGATAATCTGTATAGCACCAGAAGTAACTTTTCTCATAAAGGCCACATGGATGGTCAGCCCGACAGGCCGTCCCAGAGACGGTCACTGTGGAGTACTGGGGTGAGCATGGTGTGGTGGAACCATCTCCTCGTGGGCACTCATATTGTTTAGACTCTGGATTCACTGTGCACTTCGCTATACAACAGTAATCCCAGTGATTGCTGTGAGACGTGTAACACCAGCTGTAGGCGTATTCATGATACTCACAGGCCTGCTTAACACAGCTCCCCCCTTTGGCTGTTACACCAGAGTTCGGCAGGTGTTTCTGCTCCTGAAGGGTACAGACTTTGTCAGAAATCCCAGAAGCCTTTGCCGCTGCAACTCCAGCAGGGGCCAGCACACAGGCCAGGTCGTCCTGTTCGTACGTCTTCTCAAACTGTCTGTGCCAGTCTGACAGGCTAGAAATACCCACCAGGAACCTAATGCCTGTCAGCTGCACCTTGTTCTGATCCAAGTTTGTGCTTCTCATCACCTGGCTGGTCTCGCTGTTCAGTTTACTCCTCTTCGCTGGTGGAAGGAGATGGGGGTAAGAGTCAAATAGGAAGATCCGGAAGCTACTGTACAAGGCTTCCTTTGTTGCTGATAAAACCTCTTGGCCTTTCTGGCTCCTGGAGCCGCAGTCATCTGCAAAGACATTGACTGTCTCAGAAATCTTGTACAGACCCGATAGCTCTGCGTTTAGCTGCTCCACGGGGATGATTTGAAGACTAGATGCCTCCTTGTTCTCTCCTATGAAGGCGAAGGAGAATTTGCGGTTGTTGTCCCTATGGTCGCAGCAAACAGCTGTCCAGATGTGACTGGGCACCGAGACCCGGTTGTATGGCCGGTTACGGTCCCCTTCCTTGTCCTCCTCCTCTATGGGGATTTTCTCACCGTCACTGGGAACTGCTCCTGTCACCAGGTAGGGGGTGCCTCCCACATTTCTGCAGCTCACAGTTAGCTGTGTCTTGAGGGTTTTCTCCAGTTTGTACCAGTGGATCCGGTTGAAGCAAGGGTCCATGGGGGCGGCGTTGGTGAGGGTGAAGGTGGCCGTGCGGCCGTCATTACACTGGAAGGCGTTTGGGTTCAGGTGCCCCCGGTCGTATGACGTGTCTCCATAGTCCTCATTGATGGCCTGGCTGGATCTCCGCTCGTCCACCGTCAGTGTTGAGTCAGCCTCCGTCGTCATTTCTGGGGACTTATCTGGACGTGCCAGCTGGAGACACACAAGGTCAGAACATCTTGTCTTTGTTTGGGCTTCTCCTGCCTCTCGTGGGATCTCACACACACCCTGGACCCTCCTCTCCCCCAGGATCTCACCCCCCCATCCCTCCATCCCTGGGGTCTTCCTTCCTTCCCTCCCTCCCCCAGGACCCCCACTTCCCATGCATCTCCTCCCTTTCCTCCCGGAACATCACCTCCTGCCCCTCCCACCCCCAGGATCTCACCCCACTGCCCCCATTCTCTGGGATCCCACGCCCAGCCCCACCAGCCCTACCCCAGTGTGACAGAAGTGGGGATTTTCTGTAATGGTTTTCTGAATGCTATGCAGGGCAGTGACTTACTGGACTAGGGATTGCCACCCAGTGGGCACAGAAGGGTCAATATGCTCTCGGGCAGAGCCAGGACATGAGGTGTATGTGTGTCACGTAGCTGTCTGGGGTGGAATGACTGGGTCATGGAGAGTCTGGCAGAGACAGGGAAACCCTAGTGGCCAGGACCTTCATACCTTGTGACCAACAGCCAGGAGGAAGGAGATCCCCCCACCTTTCTGCAGGGATGCCCAGTGAACAGGGCCATCCCTAGCCATTTTGGTGCCCTACGCATAACCCCCCCAATGGGAGGGGCTGTGTGTGGCCCCAGGCCTCCCCACCCCCAGGTCTGGGAGGCAGGAGCTGTGGGGGGCACTTTTGGGGGCTCCACAGGCCCAGAGTGGCCCGGGGGATTAGCAGGGGGCAATGAACAGCCCGCTCCGTTTCCCTTGCCTCGGCCCCAGCCGTGTCGCTCAGGGGAGGGGGTTTGGGGGAAGGGATCCCCCCACACACACTCACCAGCAGCGGCGGGAAACGGCGCAGCCCGGCCCCAGCCCGCTCCACTCCGCCAGCTCCCAGCCGCAGTGCTCCACTTCCCGCCGCTGCTGAGTGTGTGTGGGGTCGCTGGGGGAAGAGGTGGAATGGGGGCGGAGCAGGGGGAAGGGTAAGAGGTGGGACGGAGGGAGTTGTCCGGGTCCCCACACCCCCTAGGGAAGGCCCTGCCCCTTGAGGTGGGTGCAGCCTGCGGGGGGGACGGCCGAGGGATAGGGCTGGTCGCCGGGGCTGGTGCTGGCGCGTATGCAGCACGCAGCTGCCTAGGGCACCATGAAATTTGGGGCAATTTGGTGCCCCAAATTTCATGGTGCCCTACGCAGCTGCATATGCTGCATATGCCTAAGGACGGACCTGCCAGTGAAGACCCGAGATGGAGAACAAAGCGGGAAGGTGTCACCTGGAAGGGTTATGAGCTGAGCTCAGAGACACGGGGCTCATGCCTTGGACTGATGGATAAAGATACAGAGAGACGGGGCCAAAGTGGTTTCTTCCTACACAACAGCGTGGCTGGGTGCAGAGCTGGCTGGGCCAGGAGAGACCATGTCTTCCCCTTTGCTTTTCTCTGCTAACCTGCAGACTTCCCGATGCTTCATTGCTGTTCACTACTAACCCTTCTGCTCTGTTTGGAAAAGGCTGCAGGGTGCCACTGTACATATCGACTGAGATGCATTGATCCCTGAACAGGGGACACATCTCTGAGCAGGGATCTACCTCCGCTGGATTTGCTGGCTTCACACTGTGAGCTCTGCCCAGCAAATCCAGTTGAGTCCATTCCCCGCACAGCAGGGCGTCCCACGGCCCCATTCCCTGCACAGCAGGGCGTCCCACGGCCCCATTCCCCGCACAGCAGGGCGTCCCACGGCCCCATTCCCTGCACAGCAGGGCGTCCCACGGCCCCATTCTCTGCACAGCAGGGAGTCCCACGGCCCCGTTCCCCACGCAGCAGGGCGTCCCATGCCCCAAGCTCGCTTGAAGAATGGCCCCGCCCCTTTTCCTTCTCCACCCCTCCCCCTTACACCCCTTATTCACAGGCTACCTGAGCGATTCCGACCCCTGGAGTGCATCACGCAGAGCGCTGAGACTGACCTGGGGCTCCACAAACCACTGGCTCCTCCTCTGGGGCTGCCCTGGGCAGGCAAGATCACCCAGGGTGTACGCCGACCAGCGCGGGATCCGGTTGGGCCTGTCATAGAGGGTCGCAAAGTGGTACCGATTGTTGTACCTCTGGCAGATCTCGGCCGTGTCGGCCGTGGCAAAGCCACGTGGCTCAGCTCCTTGGTAGAAATATTCTGTGCAGCCACTGAACGACCCCACTTCAGCCAGCGTCAGCCCTGCCCACAGCGAGACGCAGCCCAGGAGAATTAGCCAGTCCATGGTTTGGTGAGACATCAGCGCTGGGTGCTGGGCGCCTGCAATCTGTCCGACCCCTGCTAGGTCCCCTCCTATTTATAGGATCCTGGGAGCTGCCCCTGATTCTAGTTCATTGCAGGCCTCCTGCTGGGGGCTGTCCAAGTAAACACAGTGACTCAGCCCCTCCCAGGCCTGCGTCGTCTGTTCGCAGATCAAGGTGAAATGTGATCATGCCAATTTTTGGAGCCAACATTAACATGCACCCAGGGACTCTGGGCTCTGTCCGCCAGCCCAGGATACAGCTGGAGAGATGTTTTTCAAGAAGGAAGGAAATGGATCGTGAGACCAGCCTTGCTCGTTGTGGGCAGGCAGATTACGAAGAGTTTTAAGCAATGGGAGACGTCTGAGAAGGGATCAGAGCGGTGCCATGGTGGAAGAGGGGTTCCTTGGAGGCGGGGTGTCATGGATCCACAGGACCCCCAGCTTTTAAAGAGTCCCTTGGAGGGTTCCCTTTGGTGGGCCAGACCCCCGAGGGTCCCACGCTTCCCTCAGGAGAGGGGATGCAGCCTCACTGCCTCCTGGCCTGAGCCCTTGGGCTCCAGCCCTCCAGCTTCACACCGTGAGCTCTGCCCAGCCTCCTACGCAGAGACCTGCCTGCTCTGCAGGGCCCAGTGCACCTCAGCCGGCATTTGCAGGGACACCCGGCAGCCCTTCCCCAACTCAGGGGACCAGACAGCAAGTGTGAAAAATTGGGACGGGGGTGGGGGGTAATAGGCGATTCTATAAGAAAAAGCCCCCCAAATTGGGACTGTCCCTATAAAATTGGGACATCTGGTCACCCTATTCCAAACAGAGCCGGGTTTATTGGTCAGTTGGGACCCAGCAGCGGGAAGCCCTGAGGTTGGCAGAGAGCAGCCATGGTTAAGGTTAAGCCAGGGCTCCCTTAGGCCCTGCTGCTGTAGGAACTATCTCTGCTCTCGCTGTCTGTCCCGGTGCCTTTGTCTGTCAGTCCCAGGGGCGAGCTCCGTGTGTCTGTGAGCTCAGCACTTAACCCCTCCCCCTTTGTCCTCCTGCTAGGGGTCTTTGTTGGGCTTCCCTGCAGAGCGGTGGGGGGATCTCCTGCCCCTTGGCTGCTAGGTGTGAAGGTCCTGGCCAACGGGAATTCCTTTGTCTCTCCCGCTCCTCCATTCACATGTGTGCACTCTGCGTGTTAAGTGCTCTGCTCTCCAACCAGGTAGCTGCATGTGTCACACCCCTTGTCCCTTCCCTTCACACTCTTCACTTCACACACTTCGCACAGGAACCCGAAAAATATGACCAATATTCCCACATTTGTCACACCTCAGTCTTCCCTCTTCCAGACCAAACTGAGCAAAGCCCCTTTCACCAGCAACCACAGGCAGTTCGAACCCACAAGCGCTATCCAGAGATGCCAACAACAATTTCCCATCCCAGGGGTGTCTGTCCTACCAGGCCCTTTCAGGATGCTTACAGCCCAGTTTCCAGTGCATGGTTCAGAGCAGCTCTAGGTCTGGGCTGTCAGGTGACACTTGTAGGCTGCACATGGGGAGTTTTCATGTGGCTCTTTGGCCACCCTGGGACACTGGCAGACCAGGTGCCAGCTCATGCCAGAGCCCCAGGTCAATCTTCAGAAGTTCAAGAGCTGGGGTGCTCCTGCCGGGACTCGGGGCTTCAGCCCTATGGCGGGGTGGTGGGATAGGGGCTTCTGCTCTGTGGGGTCGCCGCGTGGGGCGTGCCTGCCGGGGCTTGGGGCTGAAGCACCTCTTCCACTGAAGCCCTGAGCCCCAGCAGTTGCCTCCCATGGGGCTGAAGCCCAAATATCCCCCTCCCTGCTGGGCAAAAAGCCCTACCCCCACCCCTGCTGCAGCCCAGAAGCCCTGAGCTTCCCCCAAACAGTCTGGTAGGCAGAGAATGGGGGGGGGGGACTTTAACTTTAAAAGAGCCGCATGTGGCTCACGAGCTGTCACTCCTCTCCCCCCCCCCCTCCCCGTACAGATCAAAGTGACTGTTAACTGTATAAAAGTGTATCTGGTGTTTAAACTTCATGAAAACTCGTAGGATGTTGCGTGCATTGTTTTCACTGATCTGTACCCATTATAATGTAGCGAATATTTACATTGTGTTACCCTGGTAACTAAATGACCCACCAAAGAAGCCATGTGAAATGCAAATGAAGAACATGAACTGAAAAATGCTAATTTCAAAGCAAGTGACCACTGTGTGTGATACCTGGCGGTCAAAGACTCAAAATCCATTCCTCACTCTCCGGCAAGGAAAAGTCCACGTGGGGAGTGACACTGTCGGCTTGTTAGCTGTCAGAAAAAACGATAAGTGCGGATTCAAGGAAGGATCCTGGCTCTCCAGACTGTTTGGACTCTCACAGGGAAGGGTACCAGATGCAAAGCGGAGAGCCCCAGGGGCAGTCTGGGTACCTTGAAAAGACTGTTGGGAAAGTGGCAGTTTATTCCATCCCTGCCATCGTCTGGAATTACAACCTGTGACTCACTTGAACATGCATTTTACCTGCTTTAACCTCTCAAGAACTTTCATTTCCTTTTCTTAGCGAATAAACCTTTAGTTAGTTGGCTATAGAATTGGCTGCCAACATTGTCTTTGGTGTCAGGTCTAGGGCTGTCTGTGACTCCCTGGTCAGACTGGTACTGTGACCCAGGAGTTCACGTTTGTCACTGGCTTGGTGAAATCTTTAGAACCCACCACCAGTTTGGAGTGTCTGCCCTGTTTTCTGACAGTGCCCTGAAGTCAGTACTCACAGCTGTGAGCCTCTTCAGACAGCGTGACATCCCCAGGGTTACTTCCTGCAGCCCTCCCCGTACCCCCCACCCGGAGCTAGTGAAGGGCCCGCCGCCGAAGACCCGGAGCGCCGCCCCGTCAGTAAAAGCGCCGCAGAACGCAGGGCTGAGGAGGGAGGGGCTGGAAGGAGTGTTCCTTTCCCTTTAAGAGATCCCCACCTCCCCACCCACGTCCAGTCCCCGAACCAATAGGAGCGGCCCGGAGGGGAAGGCGGGAGAATGTGAACCCCTCACAGCACCGCCAGCCGCGCCTTATTAGGGCAGGGCCTCGCGCATGCGCAAAGTCCCCCGTCCGGCCAGGGGCGGGGGCTCCAAGTGGTTGGCCTCGGCAGCGGCCGCGGAGCCAAGGTGGGGGGAAGCTCAGGGACCCCGGGACCTGCCCGCCCCATGGGGGCAGCGGCGGGAGCAGAGCCGGAGGCGGCCAGCCCCATGCACAGCCCGCAGGGAGCAGCGGCGGGAGGGCCCAAGGGTGCCCCCGGTGGGGTGTGAGCGCCGGGAGGGAGGGGCCGGCCGGGGGGGCGTGTGCTGCTGGCACGGGGGGATGATGCGGAGCGAGTGAAGGTCCCGCCGCCGAGGTGCCGCCGAAGACCCGGGTGAGTACACGCGCCGCAGCAGGTGGTGCCTTTTTGTCTGATCGTTCCCCCGTTTCCTCCATCTGGCTACGCCTCTGTGATGGACCTCTCCTCCATGAACTTATCTAGTGATTTTTTGAACCCTGTTATAGTCGTGGCCTTCACAACCTCCTCTGGCAACGAGTTCCACAGACTGACCGTGCGTTGTGTGAAGAAATACTTAATTGTGTTTGTGTGAAACCTGCTGCCTATAACCCCTGCTGGGCAGTTCGGAGTGACTACCCCAGTTGGGAAATGGTTGTAAATACAAGTGTGGGCTCTGCCTTTAACCACCTGATGGTGTCTGTGAGAAATCCAGTGGTGAGCGAGGTGAGGTGCTTGGTGACTAATCTGCTCTGTTCCACTAAATGAAGAGGAAAGCTGGCTAAAGGAGCTCGTAGTGAGGTGCGAGATCAGGTGAGACTAAATATGCATGTTGTTGTTTGTTGTGTGGAAACCGATTTTGCAAAAGCTTTCGTCCATTTGCTAATAAACCTACTTGTTTGAAGCGGCTGCTTAACACTGTCTCACTGACTCCCGTCTCGCTGCTCACTGACTCCCGTCTCGCAGTCTCACTGACTCCTGTATCGCTGTCTCACTGACTCCTGCTGGGAAGAGATGTGCAGGGGGGCTGGAACAATCTCTATTGTGGGGGTGCTGAGATCCACCGATCCAAACTGCAAACCCTGTATAGGATGGAGATCCATTCAAGACAGGGGGCGCAGCAACACCTGTTGCCAGCTTTGCCTGTTGCTCTGGGGGTCTGCTCGTTTATTAGGTTGACTCTCCTGTGGGGGCGGGGGGGTTCGACAATCCTGTCAGTGTACTGCTTGTGTCACTTGTGTTCTCATACGGAGCTCTACTTCTCCCTTCTGCCAGCTCTCTTCCAGTGGAGCTTCCTGCAGTGCCGAGGTCCCCCAGGGCTGGGCTCTTCCCGCCCTAGAATCAGATGAACACACACACATTAACAGAGCGCGTCTGAGGGGCCTGGGTAATCAGCACTCCCAAGCTGACCCCTTGTATGTCCCTGGCCTCAGCAGGCTGGTTGAACAGCAATTTCAAACTG